AACATGAGTACATAATCACCAGATAGTTAGAGTTTGGAATATAGTAGTAGCTACCAAATCTGCTTTTCTTACAGAATTACACTATGATGCTCATTCGGATTAACAACAAACTAAAAATGAAGTGAAGGATGATGTTGCAAATCTTCAAGGTTTCAGTACTTGGCATAATAATCACTATCGGTACAGACACAACTTTGTTGATAATAAACAGGTCTGTAGTAACGTCTTAGATCACCTGAAAGCTGCTCAAATACAAAAAATTTCACTTGACTTTTGGTAATTAAACTGCATTCATCCAGCAGGATTAGTCTGGGTCTTTGCGTAATGACAAATCAAATAAAAACGTTGCCAGAAACACCCTATTCACTCATATTCCTTCCTTCAGTCTACGCTCTTGTTACTGTTTCCACGACTACTCAGACCGTGCCACGTAGGCTCGAAGAAATCATGAAACAATACATCACAGATTTCTGAACAGCCTACTTTAAAACTTCGGAAGTAATATTTGTTTACTTTGTGTTTTTCGTTAGGAAATTCAAACTCTTGTCTCTGCTTGACTTTGTGTATCTTATCAGGCTATATTAATGGATATTTCGTGCGATTTATTTTTTTACAACTGCTAGACAGGTTTCATAAGCATAATATAGTTCACATTGCGAACTTGAAGTGTAGAAGACGCTGTTCTGAAATGGTGACATTTCGTCCTTATAAAATTTGCTACATTCAAAAAATAAAAACGTGTTGTAATTATCTATGAAGCAACTTTATACTGAATGTCGGATTTCTATGTAACAGTTTTCAATATTTTCTGTGGTTTATATTTTACGACTAGAGTAAAAAAAGTTTAGTTTGGTATGTTTACTTTGATTACACGTCCTTATTGAACATTTTTTGTGCTTTAACTCCAATTCACTGTGTTTTATTTGTTGATATGCTCTTGTTGATTCATTTCTTGTGTTTTAAATCCAGTTCACTGTGTTTACTGTGTTTTATTTGTTGATATGCTCTTGTTGGTTCATTTCTTGTACTTTAATTTCAATTCATTGTGTTGAGTATGTTTTATTTGCTGGTATACTCTTGTTGACTCATTTCTTGAGCTTTAAATCCAGTTCATTGTATTTAATATGTTTTATTTGTTGATATGTTATTACTGATCAGTGTCTTATACTTGAAAATATGATCTCTCCTGTGTCAAAAATGTTATAAAATTGCCATCCTATAATAGATAAATTATAAGACAGTAACATATATATTTAGGCTTTGTTTAAAAACATACACGGTGAAAGTATCATACAAAGTGATTGATGCTCACGTATGAAGTAAAAATCAAGAGCAGCAGCTTAAT